GCAATGAGAGATTAATTCTTCCACAATCATATGCGTAGGTCTCATGTTTCTATTGTATTTCACATGGCCTTGTCTCTTTAAGGATATTCTCGCCTCATTATCGCGGTTCGAGTCCTGCTGTGGGTGCTGATGAGACCGGTCGAGACTGCCGTACACTTCAGGCTGGAGGAGAATACTTTTTGGGAAGCGAGGCTATACGAAATAGAGTAAATACATCTCACATGAAAGCCCCACTTTTGTGGATTTCGAAACCGGTCGTCTGGCCGAGCCTGGTTTGTCTATTGGTCAGCCTCGTCTAGACCGTGTCAGAGTCCGCATGAGAAGGCCAGCTCCAGAGAAATCGCGTATCGAAGAGCCCTTCTCAATGTTTGAGTTGGAGGAGAGTTTGGCTTGTTGTAGAAACACTTATCTTTCTCTCGCAAGATGATAGCAAGTGGAGTTTGGTGCAAATAATAACATTTACGAGAGCCAATGTAAAAGTATGTGTAGCTTTTTTGTACAGAGCTATTCATCTTACATTTTGGAGTACCTCTCTCCAACTTGCCAGACTTCCCACTGGCCCATCGGCTTGTCTGGGTTAACCGCCCCAACTGCATAACGAGTCGGGCCCCAACGATGCAACCTCAGCTCGTGCTCCTACCCTCCAGAATGGACGTATCGGCCCCCTCTGGATCACCTCATTTCCTTCTTCTGGACACATTCTGGCGATGTCCAGTCTTTCCGATTTCCCTTTCCTCCACGCCCCTCAACACAGCATTAAAACTCCATTTTAACCAATATGTATTTGCTCTTGAGATTGTCAACATATTTGATAAATGCCAATTTGTCCATCCCATCTCACCTCGTCTATTTGGGTGTCAATGTGTGCAGGCCTTTAGACAAAAGTAAGTGTAGCCAAATAGCTCCAACACAACAATCGGACTGCAGGATAGCTTGTCAGTCATGCCGGCTACGTCAGTCATCGCAGTCCCAGTCGTGAGTAAATATGGCTGTATGTGTGTGCGTGCATGTATTGCAAATTCAATTCTATTATTGGCATTATTAATATCTTTATTACTGCTTGCATTTAAATTCGTTTAGTTATGCCTATATTTTCAGATACTTTTTTGCATATATATACACACATATGTGTGTGTGTGTGTGTGTGTGTTTGACTCTGTGTACAGGAGCGTATGAAGATAGTGCAAACTTGCCGTCCAGTCTCTTTGGCTTGTTAAGATGATATGAAGGACCATTGAGGTGACCACTACCAACAGGTGGATATTCAGACGGCATCTCTTCTATGCTCTGATCGAGTTTTAGTTGGTAAGATGTTTGGTGGGATCAGTGAAAGCTCTCTGCCACAATGTGCATATTCGAGGGGTAGGCCTCATTTAATAAGTGCTAGGATGGAGAGAATTAGAGGTCGTTGAGGTTAATTGAAGAAGACATGGATAGCTGACGTCTATCCAATCTCTGAGCCCTTTCAGAGATAACAACAAAACTTCCACGAGTCACCATGACGACAGACGGCTGTGAGCTCTTGTCTATGGGGCCTCTCAAATAAAAATCACGTTATCTAACTCATAAATTGGCTGTTTTTCCAACTCTTAAACCTCCTTCATCCAGCATCTTTGCCTCCTCCATGGCCACATACTTCTCATCTTCCTTCTCTTGCACACTCTTCGCCTTCTTCTCTCACCTCATTTTGATCTGGTTCGCTGAGATGGCTGCTAGTTTAGCCCCCAACTTAAGGCCATTCCACCATTACTTTTGACTGTTGCCGTGGCCGTTGCGTCTGCGTTATCTGCTGCAGCTTTCGCTCCCGTTGCCACGGGCAACCATTGTCATCACAAGTCCGCCCCGCCCACATTCTCTGTATCGTTAAACTACTCGTAAGCGACATTGTTTGGCCGCTGATGCGCGCAGGCAGGCAGGCAGGCAGGAAGGCAGGCGGGCAGGCAGGCAGAGGGTAGAAAGTGTGTATATTTGCGTGAAGAAGCAGTGACTTTGTCAAATTCTGTTTGTCATGGTGCCCTGTGGTTCATTTATGCTTATGCTGTCATCCCAATTCTCAAAAGCCTCGAGTACAGCCAAGTTGAAATGAGAGCATCGCGTAAGCATTTCGTGTAGGAGAGGCCAGCTCTGCCAACTACTCAGTTCGCATTGTATACAACAACGCACAGTCTCCGATGCCAACATACCATCCTGTTGTATTGATCTCGGAGAGGCACGCAACTATCCCCACAGAACAATGAACTTGGGGAGGCAGCCGGGCTGTCCGGTAGGTGAGCTGGAGCAGGGCGAAAGGAGGACTTGAGTGCCCAAGACTAACTTGTGTGCCTTGAACAGTAAGTTGGAGTCCACACTATTTGCCAGAATCTGGTTGTGTGTGGACATACACACACACACATGTATATATATATGTGTGTGTGTGTATGTATGTGTATGTGTATGTGCCTGTGACGCCCCCAGCCCGTCTGGTTGGGAAAAATATGACTGACAAGCTCGAGGCCTTCCTCTTCTATTGCCTGCGCCACTTCTGCAAAAGCTCATTGTTACTATGCCATTAAAGAGTCTGATGCAAAAGTGGGTGGCGGAGAGAGATAAAGTCACCCGTATATCATTTTGCCCTAAAATGTGAAGGAAAGAGTTTTGCAACTGTATGAATATTGCTTTTTAAGGGGGAAACCAGTAGGCAAGAGACGGACATCCCACTGCCTAACCTCACTTTCCCTCGTACTAGGCTTCCCCATGGTTATTCGCCCACCGTCCATCTGTCTTTCCATCTGTTACCAAGCCTGTAATTCGGTAGTTCACCTCTCCGTCCAACCGAAGAGCCAAGGTTTTGACAACAGTTGCTGAGTCCTTTGCACTAAGGGCCAGTAGGCTTGTCTTCCTTCACATACAGTTCGTGTTCAGTCAAGTTGGGCGAAAAGCAATTCGTTGGAGGTCGTGGGGCTTGTGGAGCTTACGCTGTCCGCTGCCAGTCATGTGAAGGAGTCTTCTGGGAGGACGGATAAGAAGGCTGTGATCGAGTCAGTCTGATATGACACGAATTTGTAAGTGCAGCTGTGAAAAGGTGATACAAGTCGAATGAAGTACCATTTAGGATCAGGATGTTCCGCAAATGGAAACTGAAACCAGCGGTGGAGGGGGTTGCGCTTCAGCTGGAATACACTCTTGGTAGATACTGGAATTTTTGAAGATACAGCGCGGTGTAGCTGGCACTGTGAAGTGGGATTGAGGTAAGAGGATATGGCGCTAGGGCCTAGGACAGGGTATGGTTGAACATAAAATTATTCACACAGTTTGCCTCCACTTGCGATATTGACAAATTCTTTTTCTGTTCTATGAAGGCGAATCACACTGACGATGTTGGCAATGTGGATGGCAATTTCGGTTAACAAACGTAAGGTAAAAAGGACAAGTTCGGTGTTTGGGGGTGGAGAGTGAAGCCTAGAGATGGGCCTACAAGGCGCATTGGCGCTTACATCTCTTAACTTTCATGCTCAAATTGATACTGATAATAATATTGATGCTGATGCTGATGGTGCTGGTGCTGAGGCAGTAGGAAGTAGCGCTAGTCGCCGAAATCATCTCCAGTCCTGATCAAACGGGTTATGAGGTCCTGTCGGTATGCGCCGAGAGAGGGATAGAATTGTAGACGGACTGTAAATATGGAGAATTTAGGTATGTTTACAGTCTCCTCTTGCTGTATAGTGTTGCTTTAGCCTGACTTTCGCAAAAGTCGTGTCACACCTTATCGGCATGTTGTCGAAATCCAGGTCCCGAGTTACGAACTTCGAAATAATTGAGAGCAGAGATCAACATTTCGTGATCGACTATTCTTGCGGCTTCGTAGAATCATGTAAGAGAACTTCTGTCGGAAGTGGGTTCACCTCGTTTTCGCAACTTGGTCTTGTTGTCAGGGCGACTAGAGTAAAACGCACCTAGTCCGAAGTTGTCTGCCATAGTAGTTGTCATGATTCCCAGCATCTGACAGAGGAGTTGGTACATTCTCAAACGTTTCGCCGGCATCGTAGTCGGCATCATCAGTGAGTTTCGCCATTCCCCACACCAAGCTACAAACTCATGACAAAACTCACTGATGATGCCGACTACGATGCCGGCGAAACGTTTGAGAATGTACCAACTCCACTGTCAGATGCTGGGAATCATAACAACTACTATGGCAGACGACTTCGGAATAGGTGCGTTCTACTAAGTCGACCTGACAACAATACCAAGTTGCCTCAATGAGGTCAACACACTTCTATAAATCGATAGGAGACTGCGACCATACCAGAGGCCACAGAATCTTGGTCCTCATATCTTCGATAACTTTTGTCTATTCGCAAATTCGAGCCCAACTCGAGGATTTTAAGGAAAAGATAGGGGTAGGTCCGGTAGAGCATTGACGATTGCTACAGAAGGACAGCAACTAAATGGGTGGTACCTATTGTTTCCAAGAATTCCATGTTGATTTATCGAGGATAAACATCACATTTCAAAGTAAAAGTTGTTAGGAACGAATTTGGAAATTGGTCTAACATGTAAATGGAAAAGGCCATGATTATACTCCCTGTTTCGACTGAATCTTACATGGACCTGCTTTTCAAGAGGTATTCTTATCCAGGCAGAATTGGACCTCCGTTTTGACCTCGTCTGGGTCTCATAAACACCCAAGGCGGGAGTTGAATCGGGTTGTGAAGGTAGAGGCGACATATTACTCGGATTTGCGTCCCTCTGAGGGTGCTCATGAGGCCTAAGCAAGGTTTAAAAATGCGGTCTAGTCCAGCATTGAGGAGAATAACTTTTGGTTATGCGGACTAGATGCAATTCACTGGAGACGTGAGGTTCACTTATATCGTTGTGGCAAAATTCATCAACTTATTTTTCATTTTGTAAGAAGGGTTTCGAGATAACCTATAAATCAGATTAATGAGATGTGCTAACCCTATTTCGTAAACGGTAATAAAAGACTGGTAGTTTAATTTTCACACAATAATATGAGTAACATCAAGCTTCTATTGCATTTCACACATATTCTCATCCACAGTTTCGACCTCGCCTAGTTATCATCAGCACCCCTAGCGTGACTCGAATCGGAATAATGCAGCACTTATTCTCAAAACGTTAAGAATTACGCCACTGCCACGACAGAAGGGAATTCCCTCATCATCTTAAACAGGATAGGGTGAATACATCTGATATATATAATCTAATAGAAGTGTTGGAACGTACTTATAAAATGGGATCCACAAAATCTTTGTTTTCTGTATGAGATGTTTGCGCAATAGAATGACAGTGACTAATACAACATTAACAAGGACTCGAAGAGCACATTTTGCTATGTCCCATGCATCATATTTCATCCAATGAGACCCACACGACTGAGCAAATGACTGATCATATTCATCTTTTGCTTTTAAAGTCTTTATCTCATATCGTCTGCAATTTCGACTTAACCTAAATCTCCTCAGCACCCCCAGTGGGACTGGAACCATGACAGTGGAGCGTACAAAATTTCGACACGTCGGCCACTATGCCGCATTGCCACTAGTGCCCTTGGGTCACAGGACAGATGTGAACTTCAAGGAAGACCAGGCATTTTCCCATTTCACATTCTGTGGTAGGATTGCCTAAGACGAAAAATTATACTTGTTATAACATTCGATTACATTACTTATTTTTCGATGTTTGAGATTCACATTTGCCCTGTAACCCAAGGGCACACGTGGCAATTCAACTACCATTCCTTCATCATCTTAAACAAAATAGAGTGAAAACACAAAAACTATTGATATTCTCGAAAGCTTACTTGTGAACGAAAAATTCTGACTACCAGGCCTGCTTTGCGGGTAAATCAAGTCAGTGTGCTCTGTGATATGCCCAGTCTATGGGCTTACTTCCAATTTTTACACTTCACAACTGGACTTTGTGATTGTCCGTGCAGATGGTATGAATCGACCCTATTTGCGGAATGGCAAGGATTGATCTCAATGCGTAGAGCAACACTGTTGGTCTTCACGTCGGGTGTAGAAATTCCAAGGTGACGATAATACAGGATATGAGGATCTCTGGTATCCAACTAGCCAAAGTGGAGCTTTAAGTAATAGTCAGTAACCAGTAGTTGGCATATATTACCGCGTCCGCCATGAGTATCATAACAGTCTTCAGGTATCATACCCCTTCCGACTCAGTTTCCTATTTTTGTCGAATGAGTAGACCTCAAACTAAATAGTAGCGCCTTAATAAGAATAAAAATAATTTAGTTTTTTTGGATTAATGATCACCAATAAGGGCCAAAATAAATTTTGAATCTTATTACACATTTTTACTGTTCGGACCCACAATGGAGCTTTGCTTGAATGACATGAATAGGAACTTAGACAGCCATAAGTGATTTGACGACTGATAAATGAGTTTTAACAAATTAAATTAAATTATGCGAAGAAAAGTTGGGTTTCAAGGAATCGCTTGTTACATAATTGTTGAGCTTACTTCCATTTCGAGTAAATGTTTGGTGAAGAGATTCGAAGGTCGATTCCACCAGAAGACGACGGCGGATTCCTCTTGTCTGGTTTTCGATCTGCTTTACTGGAGCATTCATGCTGACGCTGTTCCCGAGGTAATCTCCTTCGATTACGGTGGAAAGGTGCTAAGCTTTCGTCTGTCATATGACGAACAGCACCAGAGCAAGGTATCATCATCACAACCAAATTCGAGCTAAAGAGTTTTCTTGACTCGTTAGTTTGAATTTGGTTGTGACGATGATGTTCGTCATATGATTGACGAAAGCTTAACACTTTTTCACCTGAATCAAAGGAGATTACCTCGGAAACAGCGTCTCCATGACTGTTACAGTAAAGCTAATCGACAGCTGGTCAAGAGAAATCCGCCGTCGTCTTCTGGTGGAATCGACCTTCGAATCCGTTCACCAAACACTTTCACTCGAAATGGAAGTAAGCTCAACAAATTGAATTACACAAGTCGTCATGTCTCTGACATTCTGACCACTCAGCTGCTCCCAGGTTGCATTGGTGGTAGGTATTTTTTGGCTCTTCTGCATTTTCTTGTTGGTATCTGACCCTTGGACGCATGTAACAAGAGAGCTGTGCTAAAGCTTTAGGGTGAAACAAGTTGGAGTAGAGGATATCAGCAGTGGTGAGGATTTATATTATCAGAAAATTGAGCACAGTCATGTAGTATCAAGAAAGATGTCGTTTGGTTGTACAGGAGTATTGATGACTGAGCTATCAAGACGAAATTCCGCAATGTCTAGCCAGCGCCAAAGAGTTGCCACGATCGACGCAATTTTGACCCGAAGCAGGGTCCTGAACTGATTTGACGAAACACTCGTGCAAGTGTTGAGTTTAGGCCTCGATGCCAGTTGATCGCAGAGGTACAACAGATGCACATACAAAACGCAACGCAGCAAAGTACAGCACGCAACTAATGCCATCTCGAAAAGAAGCTGGTCAGCTAAGTCGGCTCGATAGAAGCTACGATGCTATAACGTAGGACCGTTTTCTTTATCCTCGAAGCGGTGAGCGTCGGAGTCTTCCAAGGAATATTCGTTGTCGTAGAAGCGGGAGAAATTTTAGCCAGAGTTGTCGGTTCGGAAAAGTCAAAACAGAAAATCCAAATGGTCTATTTTGAGCAAAATTCTCCACATTCAATAAGATCTCGAGGAGGGACGCAAGAGTCACTGCCATGAATAGTTACATGTTTTGTTCGATTTCTCGCTTGCGATACTATTGATCATATATTTATTATATTTTTTTAATTAATTAATTAATTAATTAATTAATTAATTAATTTATTTATTTATTTATTTATTTATTTATTTATT